CCTTCTTCCCCTTCCTGAAAATATCCAGACTGGCATCACCTCTCATCCCCCATGATTTCTCCAATTGTTTGCAATCACCCCCACAAATTATCTCATTGTCTTTGGTACAGTTCATCTGGGCAGCTGGGGGGTGGCAGGGGGAGAAGAGAAGTCACTGTCTTTGGGTAGCTTCCTATTGTAAATAATTCTTCCTAACTAGGTCCAAAGTTCTGCTGTTTATGGCCTCAAAAGGACTTCAAGTGTTTACGTTTAAGTTCAGCCTCCTGGGACAAAGCCCTGGTCACCCCACCTTAGTTATACTCTATAGGTTCAGTATATTGCATTTCAGTGCCTGGGGTGCTGCAGTCCCTCAGCAACCCCTCATGTGAATATTTCACTGCTATATTGTTGCCACCAACCATCCTGTCCCATCAGTGAGATACTCACTTTTTCCTCTGCTCCCTGAGGAAGTGGGCTGCAACTCGGGGAGTATGTCTGCTTCTAGAACAAACCTAGACTCCACATTGGGGCGAGCCAAGCTTTTCTTTGGCTACTCCATTAAGAGGTGAGAGGCAGAATGGTCACTAGACATTTTTCTCTACCAGGGCAGGTAGCAGAGAACAGGCCCAGCGCAGGAGGCCCAAATATGCCCTCAAAAGCTGCTGGGGAAGCCAGAGAAAGAGGAGAAGGGTCAGCTGGGCCAATGGGGAAAGCAAGAGCCTGCCTGTGACAGGGTGGCTGCTGGGGGAAAGGAAGCTTCTTTTTAAATGAGTTATTCTTACTAGCTAAGCTCCGTTGGTTCTGTGCTGTTGAAGAACTGAAAATGTTCACATTTCATCACCATGGCAGAAAGCTCTTGTTGCCCTACCTTAGGTATGTCTCTGGTGGAAGGTGTGCGGGGGTGACTGGGGACCACACTGAGAACATTCTGAAAGCTGTGAGGAGGAGGAGGCTGTGTCATCAGCAGCACTTGCTGTGAGGCAGTCTCTGTATTTAAGCTGGTGACTTCTGCCTTGACTGCAGCCTCATGCCTCACCAAGTCAGAAATGGGAGCTCTGGCTCCACCCTGGCCGGGGAGCTCAAAGGCTGGCTCTACTGGTTTTTCTGATTAAGACTCAGGAGCACAAGTGGACTGCAGATTTAAAGGAGACTACAGAATGTAATGGAAAGAACCCAAACCCAGGAGTCAGGAGCCCAGTGTCCTACCTTGGCTCCACAGGCAACGAGCATTTATTAAGCGCCCACCATGTGCCAGGCGCTGTGCTAAGCCCTGGCCATGTGCATACAAGCAAACAGAAAGACCGTTCCCTGTTCTCAAGCAGCTTAAATCCTAAGGGGGGAAGCCAACTCATAAAAGGGGGAGGGGGGAGGGAAGGAAGAAAGAATAATGGCCACCCACATAGGGGAATGGGGAGCAAAGTCTAGAGAGCAGCCCAGCAAGAAGGGAGTGAAACGTGGCCATCGTGGGCCCATCCCCCAGAAGCAGGCACTCACCCATGGAAGAAGGGAGCTTTGGTGGTAGCACTGCAGAGGGAGAAGGAAAGTGCTAGGGAAGGCAGAAACTGAGGCACGGTGGTATGGTCCTGATGAGCAAGAAGTGGAGCTGCCTGGGCCTTTGTCCTCAAAATGGAGATCCCAAAAGAAACTCACCAACAGGAAAAGGGGGACTGATGTCACTTTGAATAATTTACTTTCCCTCCCCAGGCCTCGGTTTCTCCATTTGTAAAATGGCATAGCCTGTATTGGCCAGTGCCTTGGGCAGAGCTGTGTCTGTTTTTTAAGGCCCTGTACAAATTGGGGAACCTTCAATTTGGTTCAAGCTCTGGTCACAAAAGCAGAAGGATATTGGGGGGACTGGCATGCCCAAGGTTTAGCCAGCCTGGACTCTCACTTTAAAAAAAAATTACTTCTGTTTTTGTTTCCTACATCATAGTCATTTCTGGAAAGATCTGCCTTTCCTTTGCTCCTCCCCCTCCCCCAAATGGAAAACTCTGTTATAAGAAAAATGGTGAAGTAAAAACCTCTCCTCCACTGAGCACATCTGGCAGTGTGCACAGCATTCTGCCCTAGCAGGCCCCCACCTGTTCAGAGAAGGGTCGTATGTGTTCCCAGGTCTGGCCTCCTCTCCATTGCTGTAGTCACTTCACCTGCTTTTCTAAATAACGATGGATTCATTAAAGGCTGGATGCCGACCTCTCACTTTACAGAAGGGGAAAAACTGAGACCCAGAAAGCTGAAGTAGCTTAATCGTTCCCCCTGTGTAGAGATTGCGCCATCTACTTCTCAAAGCAATTTCTCGTTCCTTTTCTCATTGGATAGGGAGCGGCTTAACTCTGACCTCTCTATTCCCAGGGGCTACTCCGGCCCTTAGCATGCAGTAGGCACTTAATAAGTGATTGTTGATTGATCTGTAAACAGCGGCAGGAGGTTGATAGAGAAGACACTGTGACACTGAAGTGGAGCAGAAAGCGGTAAAGAATGTATTATACACTTAAAAAAATAAAAGCTAAACTGCACATTATGGCTATCTGGGGGCCCGTTCTTTGTCTGTGGGGATGTTCCCTTGAGCTGCTGTTCGTCCAAGTCAGAACTGATTTTTTAAAAGGCCATAAATCATTAAAAATATATGATAATCATAAATGTAAGGTCTGAGCAAAGCAGGGTAGAAACGGCTTTGGACTCGATGTCAGGGTGGGTTTACACGACACTTTAAACAGTTTGTGCTCTTATTGCATAGAATAATCCTCGATCTCTGAGAGGCGGTTACACGTTCCCATGTCACAGATCGATAAAGGCGCAGAGGGAGAGATGGCAGAGCCAGAATCTTTCCTGGGGTCCTCTGCCCCCACCCCCCATCAGACGCTCCAGCCCTCCTGGCCCCGTCACTCTGCTCTTGGGAGGGTCTTGGTGTCCAGTGTCCTCTTTGCTGGGGCGGGGTGCTCCAGCTCACAGAGTGATTGTAAAGATGGCACTTTGTAACCTGATAAAAGGCTAAAGCAGCACTATTAAAGTTTCCACAATGGCACATCTTCCAGCTGGGTGTGGCTTCCCACCAAATCAGCACCCAGAGGGTCTGCTGTGGAAAACAGACTGGCTGTGGAATCAAAGGAACAGGGTTCGAATCCTGGCTTTGCAGCTTCCTACCCATGTGACCTTGGGCAAGTTTTTGACCTCTGCACTCCATTTTCCTCACCATTAGTTGAAGGGGTTGAACCAAACAGATGACTCAGAGGTTTCTTCCAGTTCCTGTTCTGTGACTCCATGAGCTGAAGGGTTAAGCTGATGGGTTGTCTGAAGGTTCCCTTGGTTGGTGTGGGTGATAATAAGTTACTGAACTTCCAGATAATACCTCCGTGCCTCAGACTGGGCCTTTGCCAGGAGTCACTCTTTCTTGCTGACAGAATCATGGATTTAGAGCTGGAAGCTCTTCTGGTCCTATCCTCTTTTTACAAAGGATCAGTAGAGTTAAGTGATTTGCCCAAGGTCACATAGCTTTTAAGTGGGAAAGCTGAGATTTGAACCCAGCCCCTTCTAATTCCAAATCCAAGGCTCTTTCTGATAGACCACGCCAGCTCCATGTAGTGTTTTGCTGAGACCCACTGACCAGGGAAATATACACGAGTCTGTGGCACATTAGAGGGTGTTGTGACCCATGGGACAATGGTCTCTAGTGTGATATTGGCTACTTTGATCTCTATGTTGAGGTCATTGTTTGTGAAGGTCTGGGCAGCTGAAGATGGGAGTCAGGATAAAGCATGCTTTGTGCTCACGGATGTACTGTCCACCTCCAGCAGCTCATCAGATGCCTTGGGATTCTTTGGCCTGTCTCCAAAAGGTACTAGTGAGCTAGAAATCTGCAAACAAAGCAGGGATAAAGTCCCACCCCACTAAGGACCTGTTCCAGTGTTGAGATGGCCCAAGGTGGGCTGGTGTCCCCCTCAGGTCCTCCTCCATGTTGCATGTCCTCCATACCAACCTTTCATGTGGCCCAGGAATCCCGAATGATACATCTCTCACTTGGCAAATAGCCAATATTAGAGAATGTGTTGGACCAATTCATAGTGCTGGGTGGGGCCCTGATACTAGATAGGAAAGTTACACAGTTCAGCAACCCTGTAGTGATGGGATTCATGGATTCCCCAAAGACCACAGGGACATTTCCTCCTATTGCTTTCAGAACTGAAATCAATTCACTACCACCATTGCCTCTGAAATTTACGCTAGATCACAGAATTAGAACAGAGCAGGGATTTGAACACAGGTCCTCTGACTTCAGATCCCAAGCATTACATACATACAACATCATGGAAAACCAGCTGGCACAAACCATTGTGGCAAAACCCACTGAAGCATCTTGAACATCTGATGTGCCTGGTTGCCCAGCCTCTTGGAATAGGGCTCTCCTCCCATCACCTGAGACTATGTCCAGAAGATCTCAAACACAGAGAATGCTTCCTAATACAGGTTCTTTCTTTCTTTTTTTTTTTAAAGACAATTTGGTTAAGTGACTTGCCCAGGGTCACACAGCTAGTAAGTGTCAAGTATCTGAGGCCAGATTTGAACTCAGGTCCTCCTGACTCCAGGGCTGGTACTCTGTCTATTGCACCACCTAGCTGCCCCAGACAGGTTCTTTCTTGATGGATAGGGAAGTTAGCTAAGCCTGAGTAGACAAGTCTGGTGGCCGTGGTTGCCGGATAATCTTAGAGAGGTCAAGGAGAGGCTGGGTGACCACACGATTCAGAGCAGGGAAGGGTTTGGAGGGCGGCACTTCACTTAAGTTCCTCTAGTCCTGCTTCTGACTAGGGTGTCTCCTCAATGGTTTTTTGTATATTTGTGAATATATGTACACATGTAAGGTTACCTGTGGCCATATATGTACATACACATAGATTTATAGCCATACATCCTGTTACATTTATTTTTACATGTCCTTGTTTTCTCCCTAAGTGGAACGCAAGCTCCTTGAGAGAAGGGCTTGTTTCTTGCTTTGTGCTTGTATCCCCAGTGCCTGATGTGCAGCAGGCACTTAATCAATGCTTGATGGGCTGATTTGACTCCTCAGATCTGACGCTGATTTAACACGTGGGTTGCATAAATGGCTGGTGGCATTGGTCTTGGGTTCGAGAAGGATTATCTAACAATAGGCCAGGGTGTTCCCAGTCAATGCCCTTCTGTGTAGCTAAAACCACCAGTGCCGTCCCCACCGCACAGCCACACCATGAACAAAGGGACACCGTGAAATACACGTCTAGATTGGCTACACGTGTTTAGGACAAATAAAAATGAGGTCAATTAAAAAGAACAACCCAGTGACTGGCGGCAGAGTAAAGGAATGAACTCTGAAATGCGCTTCAGTCACGTCGATTCAAAAAGAGGTCGGGAGAAAGGGATTTGGAAAATTGGTCTCTCCACATTCCCTACCACACCTTCTTTTTTCTCATGCACCAGCAACAAGTGAGCCACAGCCATAAAGGGCAGTCTTTACAAACCCATCCATCACTCCTTTCCTGTCTTCTCCCTTTGGACCTGGGAGGGGCAAGTCAGCAGCTGCCCTTGCACTACTGCTGTTAACACAGCTAGGTGGCTCAGTGGATAGAGCACTGGATCTGGAGTTAGGAAGCTGTTCAGTCATATCTGACCCTTTGTGACCCCATTTGAGGTTTTCTTGGCAGAAATACTGGTGTGGTTTGCCATTTCCTTCTCTAGCTCATTTTACAGCTAGGGAACTGAGGCAAACAGGGTTAAGTGACTTGCCCAGTGTTACACAGCTAGGAAGTATAAAACTGCTCCAGTATCTTTGCCAAGAAAACCCCAAATGGGGTCACCAAAAGTTGGACACAACTGAAATGACTGAACAGCAGCAAAGCCCTTAGCTTACTCACACTCATCACCTTAGTTCTTTCCCACCACATGCCAGTTACACAAAAGATCACTGTCAATAGCACACAAGCTTGTCCAAGCCAAGAGGCAACAGGAATTAGAGTAATTATACAAATTAGAATGTACCAAAGAATATGCAAGAGTGAATGAGCCCTTCTTTTTGGAGCAAGATGAATCTCAGCTCAAGCCAGGAGAGAAAGAACTGTCTCACTCAGAGGTCAGCTACAGCAGTCTTTAGAATTTCAAGCAAGTTCAGACATGATAGGAACAGCTTCCCATGGGCACCTGCCATTTGAAAAGACTCTTCTCCCTGGAGTGTCCTCGGTTCACAGTCTGTCTCTTTGAAGAACCTCAGGAGCCTAATTGGTAAATTCGATACGATGGTACAGAGAGGCATGTTCAGTATTCTCTCCAACAACCAGGAGTCACATCTCTCTACCTATACAGTAGCAGGGAAAAGTCCCCTAGCTTGTGTGGAAGCTGGATTACAAAAACCTCACTCCATATATGGTATTTGAAGACTCATGAGGTAAGACTTGGAGTTTTGCAATTGCATCCTCAATTTTCATTATTATTCTTTTTTTGGGGAGGGGGTAAGGCAATTAGGGTTAAGTGACTTGCCCAGGGTCCCACAGCTAGTAGGTGTCAAGTGTCTGGTCTGAGATCAGATTTGAACTCAAGTCCTCCTGACTCCAAGACTGGTGTGCTATCCGCCTAGATGCTTCTTTCACTATTGTTAAGATGAGACAATGGTTCAAACACAATCAATTTTTTAGTTAGGCTAGCAGTAACCAATAAATTGGGTCAATGGCATGTCTCAGTGATTAAAGACCCTGAGTAAGGGTTGACTTTTAAACTTGCATGTGTTTTCCTTTTGAATGGCCTGACAGTACATCATTTGGACCTCCCCTGGCAAAGGTAAAACAATCCCCATTGGTAGACATTTTAATGAGGAGGTGGGTTAAGAGTTACCTCAGCTCCTCCCCATTACTTCCTCATTGGAAGATGGCAATAATCTTCAGGTGATAGGATTAGCCTGCACCTGCTTTGATTGAATCAACTTGAAGCTGAGTTAAATGGGTCCTGGATGAGGTTACAAAAGTGGACAATGCAAAGGATTGGAACAGGGAAAGAATCAGATAAAGAAATCAAAGCTATTCATAGTCATATGAAAAAATACTCTAAATCACTATTGATTAGAGAACTGCAGATTAAAACAACTGAGGCACCACCTCACACCTCTCAGAGTGGCTAACATGACAAAACAGGAAGATGTTGGATGTTGGGGGGGATGTGGAAAAACTGGGACACTGATGCAGTGTTGGTGGAGTTGTGAACTGATCCAACCATTCCAGAGAGCAATTTGGAACCATGCCCAAAGGGCTATAAAACTCTGCACACCCTTTGATCCAGCAATACCACTTCTATCCCAAAGACATTAAAAAAAAAAAAGGAAAAGGACCTACTTGTAGAAAAATATTTATAGCAGCTCTTTTTGTGGTGGCTAAGAATTGGAAATCAAAAGGATGTCCATCAATTGGGGAATGGCTGAGCAAGTTGTGGCATACGATTGTGATGGAATGTGATCGTGGTAGAAGAAATGACAAGCAGGACGCTCTCAGAAAAACCTGGAAAGACTTA